AGCATTCACCAAGGTACAGGATAGTTATAGAAAGCAGAGGGCGTGAGAATAGTCACGTGATCTCACTGACGCAACACTGCCCCCTCCCCAACATTGTTCGTCCCGAACAACAACCACATACAACAAACCAACAACAATCAACAATAACTCAATCAACTGTACAGAACTACAAACACCAAACTACAATTCAACAAAGTCTCCCAACTTTACGGGACGTATCTTCTTCCGTACTGGTCTCCGTCTCGTTGGCTTCTGCTTCATGTGGGATTCATCTGCTTCATCAGTAAATGTCCCATCATCGGTAACAGTCACATCAGTGGTAGTAACTTCACCAAGAGCTTCACCGTTTCCCTTTTCAAAACTGAGTAGTTTCTTCTTCGACGGTGGCTTCTTCAGGTGGCACATCTTCAGCAGCATCATTTGTTCTGTTGTCCACTTCATCCCAACTGAAATGTCCTGGACCGTGATAACACCAAAACCTGTTGGCATGCACCACTTTTGGCTTACCTCGCCGACCACATTTTATCCGAAAAGTCACGTCTGAGAGACGATCCACTATGTCATATGGGCCTTCCCATGGAGAAGGCAACTTAGGAGACTTCCCTTTGGTCTTCCTGGGATTATACACCCATACCTTGTCTCCAGATACAAAGCTGACTTCAGTAGATCTCTTATCATAAGTTAACTTCATCGAATCAGCAGACGTTTTCAAGTTTGAACGCACTTGATGGTGAATATCATCCAACACTTTCACAAACTCTGACACATTCACAGGCAACTCTTCATAAGGTGGGCATCTCTTATGCTTGATTCCCCTTTTAGCACTACATGTACTGCATGTCCTGCACCATTCTTCCACATCTCACCTCATGCCTATCCAGTAAAATCTTTGTCGTAGATGACTCAATGTCTTCCTAATTCCGAGATGTCCTCCTGTTAAATTATCATGGGATTGATGCAGCACAACTTCCCTTAACTTCCCCGGTATAACTGTTTGCCAAGTCGTCACTTTCCCATCTGTAGTTTCCCATCTCTGGACAAGAATACCATTTTCAAGCTTCAACAGGTCCCATTGTGCCCAATAGTGCTTTGTCACGGGGCTTAGACTAGACACCTTCCCCAAGCAGGGCACACAACACTTGCTTTTATAAAATCAATCATTGGCTTCAAATCTTGGTCTTTCTCCTGTTCTGCCATGATATCTATATTTGG